CTCCTCCAGCATTCTTCTCTGGGTCTGGTCTCCAGGTGTTATCGCCTTTCCAATTCCTGGCATTCCTTGAACGCTCCTTTCTCCCTTAGTCACTGTTGCTTTTGGTCAGTTTTTGCCATGTTCCTGTGATTTTTCAGAATCCTCTTTTTTTTTTTTGTTTTTTTTTGGTGAGGTAATCAGGGTTAAGTGACTTGCCCAGGGTCACACAGCTGGTAAATTGCAAGCGTCTGAGGCTGGATTTGAACTTAGGTCCTCCTGATTCCAAGGCCGGAGCTCTACCCACTGTGCCACCTAGCTGCCCCTGAATTCCTCCTTTCTTCATACACGATCATGTTCTGCTGTGTTTCCTGCTTCTCGGTTCATTTACCCATTGACGTCCCATCAATAGTCACTCCTTTGGTTTCCAGTTATTTGCTACTAGGATAAGCTGGGCCTTTTTCCTGAACTTTGCAGGGGTTGAGAGGGAGGAGAGAAGCCCCTGCAATGCCAGGGTGCAGGAGGTTTGTTTCAATGAAGGGATTTTTGGTGAAAGGTTTTCCAGTCTTGGGGAAATGTCGTCTATAACCCCATCTGTCGTATACTAGCACGATTATTTGGGAAGGAGCGAGTTTTGTTGCTGTATGAATCTCTTGTTGGAGTTCGGGGGAGGCCTGTGTCCACACACCAGACAAGTGGTGGCTGCACCTTTGCCTAAAGACCCTTAAGGGATGGGTGCAGCCTGTTCCAGTTTTGCTGGGAAACACTTGTTTACTTAGCACCTTCTCTGAGCTTGCTCTCCCCACCTGCACTGGAGGTTTGGGGTCCCCAAGAGGGCGGGCAGGATTGTGGGAGCACAGCGAGCAACAAGTATTTTTAAGCACTTACTGTGTTCCAGGAGCTGAGCTAAGCACTCAGGATACAAAGATAAACAAAAAAGACAGTCCTGTCCTCAAGGAGCTTACATCCTCATGGTAGAAGACAATGCACCAAAAGAGGTGAAAAGGTGGAGGGGGCATAGCAGTAAAGCTCTCAAGGGGAGCTGAAAGGGGAATGAAGCATGGCCAGCCTGGGTCCCTCCTCAAAATGGAGGCCCTGGGAAGAAGTTGCCGATGGGAGAAAGGGGAAATAGGACCAGGGTGAGAAGGCCACAGAGGCTGAGGGAAGTTCCAGAATGAGAAGGCAGCTGACACTTGGTGGTAAGACCTGGAGAGCCCCAAGGAAAGATAACACTGAGAATCTGTGCTTTCAGCACTGCTGCTCTTGAGTCCCCACCAGTGGGCTCCCAATTGACAAACAGCCAGACAAGTAATTCACTTTTAGGAAAGGTATTAATTGATATGATATGATGAGTTGATATAAATCCTCCTCCATCCCCCTTCTCCAATCCTACTTGTCCCAAGCCTGGTGTACTTTCCCACCACCATAGACACCATCTGTGGAAAGAGGAGGCTCCAATGTAAAGGACAAGCATAGGGAGGAGCATGAGTGACAAAGAGGAGCCTCCCAGGTCCAGTTCCTGGGAGCATTTTTCTCTCTTTAAGGATCCTTATGACGTTCCTCATGGGTACAGCTCTCCGCTGGGCTTCAAGGATTGGCGCCTTGAGTCTTGAGTCCAGAACTAATGGTCCTTTCTACCCAGGAGCTCCCTGAAGTGGCCTTTCTTTGGTTGACTCTTGTTCTGGGTTCTTAGGCTGTTGCTGCGTCTCTCCACTGCCCTGAACTCTTCATCCTGGATAGATGAGGCTAACCCTCATGATGGTTTGGGCTGGAATCAGGGAGGGAACATGTGCACATGCTCCAGAGACTGGCTTTCATGGGTCCACACTGACATACTCCCATGGAGCCAACGGGGCAGAAAATCACCTCCCTGTCACTTCTACCCATTCCTCCTCATTGTACTCTATGAAGCCAAGGTGTCAGATCTAATCCTTGCAAATATTCCCTTGAAGACAGCATTGTGTTCCCTAGCTCTACTCCAGGCTTCCTATTTCCAGGTGAATTATGCCCACCTCCTTCACCTGACCCTGGTAATCCTCTCCTGAAATGTTTTATACAGTCACCCCTCAGTACCTTGATTCTCCTCCTATGGGTCTAGTTTATATTCCTCCCCCCTTTGTAGTACCTGACACATAGCACTTAATAAATGATTGTTCTGTCTATCTGCTCTCTTGTTTAGAGCATGAGTCAGGGACAGGGTCCAGAAATGGCAAGGCTGTGTTGTCAGGACTGCCAGGAGTCTTCCCTGACATTGACATGGGTCTGCGTCTCTCTCATTGTCCCTGGCACTTGTGAGAGTGGCCACAAAAGCTGCCTGCGCGTCGGTGATTTCTTTTCCTCCTGGCTGTCCTTGTGTTCTCAGTTCTATCCATGCCCGCTGCTGAGGGGTCTGCTTCCCCATTATTAGGTAAGTCTGTGATATGGCATCAATCTGAGAACTCCAGTTCATTTGGTGAGTAGAGGGTCGACAGCGCCACACACGATAGCAGCATGGATTTCCTCCTTTATTGTTTCAGGATCTGGCACAAACCATTCCCAGTCTCCTGGAGAGTTGCTACCCGAGAAGCAGATCATGCATCAGTGTACTGCTCATGTCATGGGGCGCAGTACCACAAAGGGCTCCAGCTTCCCCTTGCCTCACCTCAGCCTTTGATTTCACCACCACCGTCTTTCTCTGTGTGAATTACCATTTACTATGGAGTCTTGTTTTTTGGTGTTAACCCAGGCACAAAATGACCTTCTTACAGCATAAGAAAATTAGGAGGGTGTGCTCTTGATTAATTCAGTTCCTTTCATGGTGAGTGGAAACTGCTGAATTTGGAAGTCTTGGGTTCAAATCCTAGCTCTCTACTTACTAGCCTTGTGACTTTGTGCAAACCAAGTCACCCTCCATATGTGAATTTCCCCTTAAGCAAAATGAGGAGATTGGAAGAGATGAACTCTGAGGTCGAAATTGATATTCTATATGGCTCTAAATCTATGCTCCTAAAAGAGAGACTCTCCCAACAGGGAAATCATGGATAAATTAAGGACAAAGGTGGTATTGGAATAACTGCCAGTGAAATGTGTTGCAGCAAGTGCAATGTTTTACATTAACAGTAATATGAACAGTAACAAGCAGTTATGAGCAATTCTGGGTGGAGAAGCTGTGGTGGAACTATTTGGAAGGTCTCAGACTAAGAGTTAAGGGGTTGATGCAGACATTTTATTCCTGAAGACTTGGCCAGAGGAATAAACCTTCGCTCTAAGTGGTGGGATCCACCTGGATGAGAGGAAAGAGCAAATTGTGTTTAAATTGTGCAAATTGTGTACAGACACACTCCTATGTCTATATACAGATACATGGGTGGGTCTGCACACGTATATATAAACTTAGACATATAGATGCATCATTCTCTTGTCTCCCCCAACTCCCAAACACCTGGGACTTGTGGGAGGTAAGAGAATCTTGAAGACCCAGTACAGTGGGGAATAGATGGGTTTTCCCAGTCTCCCTTGTATTGAGAGTATCAGTGCCATGATGGACTTGATCTCCATGGCAGTAGCCCAACCACAGGGCTAAAAGCCTTGGTAAGAACCTCTCACCTAGAAGTCTCCCATAAGACTGTAGGAAATGAAGGTGACAGAGAATGACTGTGTTCTGGTCCAGAGGGCAAGGCAGTTGAGATGTGGAATAGATATGAGTTAGGAAGAAACTTATGATTACTCTTGATTTTGAGATATGTTGGGGCCTCCACCTGAGAAAAAGGGGGCCCAAGTGCCATCTGGTTTAAGGGCTTCAGGTAACCCTGTTTCTTGGAGAAAAGTAAGAAAGCAGATTGGGGAGTATTCCCCAACAAAGTGGTCTGCAGTGGAAGCTCAGACACAGGGATAGGGCATGGAAAGAGATGTCATGACATGACCGGTCAAAGGGATCTGAGGGCAGATAGTTCTGGGCATAGCAGATGCAGACACAAATGAGGCAGTATTGGGGTCCCTGGGGCTCAAGCAGTCTAATACGAGTTGCAGAAAGTGCTCAGTCCACTATATATTTCCCAATAAAAAACATAAGCATGCCCAGGTGACAGCCCATTTTCCCCACTTTGATCTGGTCACCATCCTTAAGGGGAGCTGGGTGGATAAGTTCCAGGGCTTTCTGGAAGCCTTTAGCCAGGAATGGGCTGGCCACTCTGTACTGTGATTACTATTGCCCCATAGAGCTCCCACCTAATGTGTGCCTGATCACCCAGGTACCCCACACACCTATGCTTCGCAGCTTGTGCTCCCCACTGAGTGAAATGTATTTGTGGAGGAGCAGGCTCAAGATCCTTGGGGGAATGTTTTGTTCTTACTATTTCATTCAATGCCTTTTCACTAAGCTACATGTGTTCTTGGCTGACTAATAAAATTAGGTACAGTGGTGGGGGCTCAGAATCTCTGTGCTAGAAGACACCTCAAGGGCCATTGAGAACAACTGGGAACTTGCGTTCTGAGAGGATGCAGCTCCACCAGGCACGTAGCCCCTGAGTTAGTTTTTGGAAACGAGCAAGGGAAGCAGGCTCAATAGGAGAACACGTATGCCAAGGTTTTGGATGCAATCTTCTTGGCTGTCTGCAGGGCATAAAGGAGGCAAGTTACCTTCCCTCTGCAGTTGGTAGTGGAAGAGGGAATAAGCAATTATTAAGTCCCTACTGTGTGCCAGGCACTGCGCTAAGCACTTTTACAATTATTATCTCATGGGATACCCACAACAGCCCTGGGAGGTAGGTGCTACTGTTACCCCCATTTTATAATCGAGGAAACTGAGTGAATCGTATGCACTTCACCCCTGTTTGCCTCAGTTTCTTTATCTATAAAATGGGGGATTAGATTAAAACAGTACCTACCTTATTGTTCACATCCCCACTGATGTGTTTTCAGTTTGTGCTCAGCAGCCAGATGGCATCCTTGGTAACTGAGGCACTTTAATTGAGTGACAATGTAAACAAATAACAGAATGTTCTCCCATGAACCTTGAATTCAGCCTCACCAATTCATGACACTGGATGGGCAGAGTAGACCTGGCAGTGATCTTTTATGGGACATCCACATATGCCTGGGGAACACGCGTCCAGGACCGCTGCGTCAAGGCTGCTGAGGTTACCCAGGACATTGTTTTGGGGCTCTCTGCCAGAACCCTGGCCTGTCATCTGCTGCGTCTTGGCTGCTTCACTACTCCCTTGCACGCCCTGTTCTGGTGGTACTGAGGTCCATCTATTTCCATGGTTACCCAACATCCGGTCCTCCATCCACTGGGAATACTGTGTTACTTTAAGGTATTCTAAAAGCATTTATTAAATGCATACTCTATGCCAGGCAGTGTGCTAGCCCCTGGGGAAAAAAAGAACCCCCCCCCCCAATACTTCCCCTGCCTTCAGGGAGCTCACGGTCTAGGTATGACTAGATACACAAAGAAATACACAAACTATGGGGAAGGTCATCACAGAGGGGAAGGCCCCAGAAACTTAGGGGACTGGGAAAGAGCTCCTGCAGAGGGCAGGATTTGAGGTTAGTCTGGAAGAAAACTGGGGAAGGAAAGAGGCATGAAGAGGTAGAGTCTCCTTCCAGGCATGGGAGTCAACCAGGGCAATTAGATGGTGAGAGGGAAGAAGGGAGTTTTGTGTGTGAGGAGCAGAGTTGGGAGAGGGCAGTCCAATGTAAGAAGGGGACAGGAGGTCCTGGAGGGAAGAGGAAGCAGCTCTGTTTTACTGAGGAGGGAGCTGATATGGTCAGATGTAGGCTTTGCTAGGAGTGGGGAGAGGGAGGATGCAGGGGCCTGCATGAAGGGGAGTCAGTACCTGGGTGAGCTTCTGAGAGATGACCAGATGTGGTGATGGAGGCTGTGATTTGTAAGCCTCTCTCTTCCCCAGAGCAGCCCAGAGGTCACCTGTCCATAACAGTCACAAGGATTTTCTCTGCCAGGCTTGTTACGGCATGTGCAGGGACTTCATCTAAGATCAGTGCTGCCCTTTGAACTCTTCTTTTTCTTCTACAGTTCCCAAGACTGCCTCCCAGATGAGGTAGCATCACAAAGGCTCCAGCCTAAGGATGCCTCTTGCAGCCTGCCACCCCCAGGGTGCCTCCTTGAACTGCCTTCTCCCATGGAGTGTGAATAACAATGTCAGCAGGATCATTCTGGGCCTTGGTGGGGCTCCAACCCACCACAGGTATTGGACATGGAGGAGAGCAGTGGCCTGAGTCTGATGGAGCAGAAGAGGAGGAGAAGGAGGCAGAGCTGATAGGAGTCTGGCCTGCATCAGTCTGCTCAGAGTTCAAAGGGAGACCCTTGATGGCAGCTGGGGTGGCTTGAAGTTCTGGGATAGCGGGGGCTTGGGTGGAGTGGGTCAGGCCTCCCTCAGGAAATGGGAGACTGAATCCCAGGAGCACTCTCTGCCTGTGGGACCAATGCAGTTTATCTGCTGGAGTAGAGCCAAAAGGTGAGAATTAGATCCCAATTCCTTCACCAAGAGGGGTCCAGAAAGAGGAGAGAAAGAAGAGAAGAGAAGAGAAAAAAGTAGAGAGGAGAGGAGAAGAGAGAAGAGGAGAAGTGAGGGCCCAGGAGCTGACTGATGACTGCTCAGCCAGTTAGGCCAGGGTCTCATGTCCCTAATCTGCCCAAGGTCTGACTTTTCCTGGAGCACAGACACTTAGGAATGAGTAGTGACTGTGATAGCCTCACTACCCAGGCTGTGTCTGTTGGGGAAATGGGCTGGGGATCCTTCCTCTTGCCAGGGCAGTTAGGTCTGGGATGGGATGGAGTGAACACAGGCCATAGAATGGCCTCCATACCAGTCTTTCTTTACACTCTCTTCTTACCTCTTCAACTGAACCCTACAAAACAGCGACCAAAACAGGGAGTCTCTGCTCCTGAAAGAAAGAAGGGAGTGCAGGGCAAGAGGGGGATGCTGAATGCAGAGTCCTCTATATCTAGCCTGATCCCCAGGCCTTTGTAATCTCAAGGTGGCCAATGCCCTGAGGATCTTGAGTACTCAGAAAAGCCCCATCCATTCATCTATCCATCTACCCAGGCACCTATCCACCCACCCACCCATTTATCTATCCACCTATCCATTTACCTACTCATCAATCTAATCTCTCACCCACCCATCCTGCCCATCGTCTCATTCACCCATCCACCCACCCATCCATCTATCCATCAATCCATCCATCCATCCATCCATCCATCCATCCATCCATCCATCCATCCATTCACCC